CGAATACCTTAGTGTCGATTTTGCATCGAATTAGTGTCGATTTTGCACACGGGTAGGTAAATTCGTTTTTAATGTGTCTCCTACCTACCAATTTGAGGCAAATTCGACGCTATATTCGACGCTACGTGATCGACGCTAAATCGATGCAATTAGCATCGATTTAGCGTCGAATTTAGGAATTTCGACGCTAATTCGATGCTAATTTGCGTCGATTTAGCGTCGAATTTATTCGACCCTACTTAGCGTCGAATATTTAGACTGACACAACTTCGACGCTATATTAGCGTCGAAAAAATTCTGACGCTAAATTTCGACGCTAATTTACAGTTTTCTTGTAGTGTAGCTGTGAAACAGTTGGTGTCGTGGAAATATCGATAATGATCATAAGAACTCGAAGTCAACAATTTGTTTGGTTGTACTTGTAACTTTAGATGAGGTTGCATTAGTTCGCCTGAAACCGGTTTACACAAATAAACCGCTATTATTCAATAACTTTGAACATTTTAGTAGTATTTTCTGCTTACAAATTCTTGTAAGAAAACATACAATATGGACATGTCTAAAAAACGAAAACTAATATAAACTTAATATAATTTTTATTATATAAAAGATAGAAACATTATACACCGGCATAAAATGTTTAACTATTTTACTGTAATATTTTGTTATATATTCTAGGAACACCAAACTAGCATGGTGCTCTTATGGTTTAATTAGTTATTAAGGTAGACAACAAAAAATCAACTTTCATAGACATTGATTAGTTTTAGGAAAAACGAAAGAACACATTAGTTTTTGTGCCATGAAAATATAAGTCCCTCTCGTCTCGCACGATCTCTTCTAAAGTAAATCCCATCAGATTTAGCATACCATGCGCGATATTGACCACATCGTCTATTAGCAGCTTCTCTGTATAATTCCAAGTGAGAACGACTATACATCCAATTTGGCCCATGCCTAAGGTCACACGTCCACACCAACCTCATTGTGCTATTTGATTCAACTGGATCGTCAAATTCGAAGCTTCGCATGTAACCATTTCTTACGTATTCGATTCCATAGTTCTTGGTTTGGTTTTTGCTTCCATAGTTCTTGCTTGCTTTTTCGATTATAGCGGTCTCACAACGAATTTGGAGACGTTTTTCAAGACCGAGGTTGTTACGAATTTCTATACGATTCGGCGGACACAATGCTTTGTTTAATCCCAAATACATAGTAATAACTAACATAAAAACTACGAGACAATTCATTTTTATATTTATTATTTTGTTTCGAAGATTAATTTTTGGAATAAAGCATCAATGTGCACTATTTATAATTTTTGTTTGTGGAAAATGTTTTACTTTTATATATTGAATATTCTATGTATAGTATTACCTAAATTTAAAAAATTAACATGAACCAATTAAACTTCCGTCAAATGAGTATTTAGTTTTGAAAAATATGGTTGGTCACCAAATGAATCAGCCTTGCTCTGCTACTAAGATTAGAACAAACAAATGAAAGATCTAAAAATATAAATTAAAATCTTGGAAATGCATTGTTTAACCAATATCGGAAATATTTTTAACTATTAGGAAGTAAATAAATGGGATTTAATAATATGTAACATAATATATATTATTAGGGGAAATTCCATAAAAATATCTCAACTAAATTCCTATAAATTTTTTAATATCCGAATTTTCTCGCTACCTAGTTTGATACCCCAATTAATTAAGTTGATCATTTTAATACCTCAACTTGGAACAATTGCAAAAATGCCACTTTTGGTGTGTACATTTGCAAAAATACCATTTAGACGTGTCTATTTGCAAAAATGCCACTAATAATGGATTTTTAAAGCCTAAATCTTAAAATTATAAACCATAAAAAATGTTTTGATCCCTAAAACCCCTTAACCCTCAAAGATAAACCCTAATACAACATAGTTAACCCAAACATAAATGATATAATGAATTTTTTTTTTGAAAAAGTGGCATTTTTGCAGAGATTTTGAAAAAAATGGCATTTTTAAAAAGTGGCACTAGAAAAATGACATTTTTAAAAATTTCTCAACTTTCAACTTATACCCATTTAACTTCACAGAAAGACGATGTCCGTTATCTATTTATTTTTTTGTTAATATAATATTAATATTTTAATCAAAAATAATACTAAAAACTAAAAAAAAATCGAAAATTCGAAAAAATGTCAAAAAAATAAAATTCAACAAAAATAATAACAAAATTTTAGAGAAAATTAAATTATAGTTTAAATTAGAGATTTTTAAA